TAGGGGGGTAGTGGTCAGCACAGACTGAGGAAAGATGTGGCAGGTATCCATACTAAAAACAGCCTTTGCAACAAAAATATTAGACTCATGCCAGCTACACAGGGATGCTCCCATGTAAAAACAGCCCTTCAAGACCACAGTAGATAACTGTTTCTTCTAGAGTCAGAGATATATAAGTTAAATGAATACACAGAGGAACCATTCCCAATTAAAAGATCAAGAGAATTCTGCTGAAAGAACAAGCAATGAAAGAGACCTCTCCAATCCAATAAACCTGAGTTCAAAAGAGAGGTAATAGAAATACTGATGGAATTAAGAAAGGCTATCAATAGAGATGAAGATTACTGTAAAAAAAACTACAAACTATAAAGAGTAACCAAATAAAATTAGAAAACCCATTTGCTGAGATGAAAGCTGAACTAAAGGCAATAAATAACAAATGCAGAAGAAATAACAGATGATCTGGAAGATAGAATTATGGGACTCACCCAATCAGAACAGCAGACAGAAAGACAAGTTAAAAAAAAGAAAGCAGTATACAAGACTTATAGGATAACATAAAGCATGCCCAGCTATGCATAATGGGGATCCCAGAAGGAGAAGAAAAGAGGGACTAAAAAATATATTTGAAGAAATTATGGCTGAAAACTTCCCAAATCTAAAGAAGGAAACAGATATCCAGGTACAGGAAGCACAGAGGGTCCCAAACAAGATGAACCCAAACAAACTTACACTAAGACATCTTATAATTAACATGGCAAGAGTTAAAGCAGCAAGAGAAAAATGAAGTGTTAATTACAAGGGAACCCCCATAAGGCTATTAGCTGACTTCTCTACAGAAACAATTCAGGCCAGCAGGGACTGGCAAGATATATTCAAAGTCCTAAAAGCAAAAAAACCCTGCAACTTAAAGGATACTCTATTCAGCAACATTATTATTTAGAATAACAGGAGGTAAAAAATTTATCAGACAAGCAAAAACTAAAAGAATACAGCAATATTAAATTTATCCTAAAAGAAATACTGAAAAGTCTTTTCTAAATAGAAAAGAAGCAATAATTTATAGGAAAGAGAAAATCACAGTTGGAAAGCAAATCACTTAAATAAGCTAGTATACAGATGTAAAATTTTTTTTTAATTTTAAAAAGTTTTTGTAAAAGCGATGATAACTACAATGAACAGCAAACAAAAGTCAGCAGAAAGTAGGAAATAATAAAAATCAGAGATAAAATAAATAAAATAGAGATATAAAAAATAGAAAAAAATCAATAAAACCAAAAGCTGTTTCTTTGAAAGGGTAAACAAAATTGACAGACCTCTGGCAAGGTTCACCAAGAAGAAAAGAGAAAGGACCCCCCCCCCCAAAAAAAACAAAATTAGGAATGAAAGAGGAGAAATAACAACTGATATGCAGAAATGCTAAGAACCTTAAGAGGATACTATGAACAATTATATGCCAACAAATTGGACAGCCTAGAAGAAATGGACAGGTTTCTAGAAACATGCAGTCCACCAAAACTGAATCGAGAAGAAATAGATAATAGAGGTGAAATAAAATCTGTAATAATAAAAAAAAACTCCCTGCAAACAAAAGTCCAGTAGCAGATGGCTTCACTGGGGAATTTTACTAAACATACAAAGAAAAACTCTTACTGACCCTCCTCAAGCTCTTTGAAAAGATTGAAGAGGAGAGAACACTCCCAAACTTATTCTATGAAGCCACCATCACTCTGATACCAAAACCAAAGACACTACCAGAAAAGAAAATTACAGGCCGATATCTTTGATGAATATAAATGCAAAAATATTCTCAACAAAATGTTAGCAAACCAAATTCAACAACACATAAAAAAGATCATACACCATGATGAAGTTGGATTCATCCCAGGGACACAAGGATGGTTCAACATATGAAAATCAATTAATATGATACATCACATCAACAAAAGAAAAGACAAAAACCACATGATCATCTCAATTGATGCAGGAAAAGTATTTGATAAAATTCAACATCCATTCATGATTAAAAACTCTTACCAAAGAGGGTACAGAGGGAACATAATCTCAACATAATAAAAGCTATTTATGACAAACCCACAGCCAGAATAATACTCAACAGTGAAAAGCTAAAAGCCTTCCTGCTAAAATCTGGAACAAGACAAGTATGCCCACTGTTACCTCTTCTGTTCAACATAGTACTGGAAGTCCTAGCCACAGCAGTGAGACAAGAAAAAGAAGTTAAAAGTATCCAAATTAGAAGGAAAGAGGTAAAATTGTCACTATATGCAGAGGACATGATTCTGTATATAGAAAACACTAAAAACTCCACACAAAAACTGCTAGAGCTGATTAACAAATTCAGCAAGATAGCAGGATACAAGATTAACATACAGAAATCTATTGCATTTCTTTGCACTAGCAATGAAATATCAGAAAGGAAAAGTAAAAAAACAATCCCTTTAAAAATTGTATCAAAAAATACTCAGAAATAAACCTGACCAAGAGGGTGAGAGACTTCTATGCTGACAACTATAAAACATTGACAAAGGAAATTGAAGATGATTCAAAGAAATGGAAAGATATCCTATGCTCTTGGATTGGAAGAATTAATATTGTTAAAATATCCATACTACCCAAAGCAATCTACAGATTTAATGCAATCCCTGTCTTAATTACCCAGGACATTTTTCACAGAACTAGAATGCATAATCCTAAAATTTATATGGAACCATATAAGACTCAGAATTGCCAAAGCAATCCTGATGAAAAAGAATAAAGCTGGAGGTTTAACCCTTCCAGACCTCAGATAATACTACAAAGATACAATAATCAAAACAGCATGGTATTGGCACAAAAACAGACACATGGATCAATGGAACAGATTAAAAAGCCCAGAAATAAACTAACACGTCTATGGTCAATTAAGCTTCAACAAAAGAGGCAAGAATATACAACGGAGAAAAGACAGCCTCTTCAGCAACTGGAGTTGGGAAAGCTGGCCAGCCACATGTAAATCAATGAATTTAGAGCACTCTCTCATACTGTACACAAAAATAAACTCAAAATGGCTTAAAGACTTAAGACAGGACACCATAAAACTCCTAGAAGAGAGCTTAGGCCGAACATTCTCTGACATGAATTGTAGCAATGCTTTCTTAGGTCAGTCTCTCCCAAGGCAATAGAAATACAAGCAAGAATAAACAAATGGGACCTAATGAAACTAATAAGCTTTTGCACAGGGAAGGAAATCATAAACAAAACATAAAGACAACCTCTACAGAGTTGGAGAAAATATTTGCAAATGATGCAACCGACAAGAGCTTCCAATGTATAAAATAGTTTCCAATGTATAAAAATAGCTCATACAACTCAATAACAAACAAACAAACAAATCAAGAAATGGACACAGGACCTAAACAGACATTTCTCCAAAGAAGACATACTGATGGCCAATAGGCACATGAAAAGATGCTCCATGTCGCTAATTATTAGAGAAATGCAAATCAAAACCACAATGAGGTATCACCTCACACCAGTCAGAATGGCCATCATCAAAAAGTCTATAAATAATAAATGCTGGAGAAGGTGTGGAGAAAAGAGAGCCCTCCTATACTATTAGTGGGAATGTAAACTGGTGCAGCCATATTGGAAAACAGTATGGAAGTTCCTTAAAAAACTAAAAATAGAATTACCATATGATCCAGCAATCCCACTCCTGTGCATGTATCTGTAGAAAACTCTTAACTCAAAAAGATATATACACCCTATTGTTCATAGCAGCATTATTTACAATAGCCAAGACATGGAAGAGACCTAAATGTCCATCAACAGATGAATAAAGAAAAAGTGTGTGTATACACACACACAATGGAATACTACTCAGCCATGAAAAAATAATAAAACAATGCTATTTGCAGCAGCATGGGTGGACCTAGAGATTATCATACTAAATGAAGTAAGTCAGAAAAAAAAGACAAATATTACATAATATCACTTATATGTGGAATCTAAAGCATTGATATAAATAAACTTATTCATAAAACAGAAACAGACTCAGACATAGAAAACAAACATGGTTACTAGAGAAGGGAGTGGGGGAGGGATAAATTAGGAGTTTGGGGTTAGCAGATACACACTACTACAGATAAAATAAACAACAATGTCGTGTTTAGGGAACTATATTCAATATTTTATAATCAGCCATAATGGAAAAAAATATGAAAAAAAATATATATGTAAAACTGTATCACTTTCCTGCACACCAGAAACTAACACAACATTGTAAAGCAGCTATACTTCAATAAAAACAAAAGACCAAAAACCTAACACAAAAGACAATTCCCAGACTACTAACAGTGACTTCCGTTCTCCTTAGGCTCATTAAATTCCTGACTCCAAGAAAAAGCTTTCCTTTTGAGAGGATTTGAGACTATTTTAAGATGAACTCTTGTCATCTTACCTTCCCTAACTTCCTTTCCTTCCCAAGGAAGGGCCAGGGCTTTCAGGAAGGATCGGAGAGAAAGAACCCATGGAATCTTTTAGAGGTTCCCTAAGGGTCTGGCCTTGGCCCAGGTCATCTGCTACAGTGGAGATTTGAAGCAGTCTGGAGGATCCATTTTGACTCAGTCTCTCATCCTGGCCTTGTCATGGTACTAAGCTGGGCATTTGGACCAAAGGTGACACAGCCGTAAGTCAAACTGCAGAACTGTTCTGTATGGAGAGTCCTTATGCCTGCCCACTGGGCACCCATCCCCACAAGGCTGGTGAGCATGTGACTGTTTCGTCTTTTGCCCTTGCCATCGGCCATGGCACCCAAAGGTAGCCCACAGGGCTTGCTTTCCAAGCTGAAATCTGATTTGTGTGTCTGAAAGGGTCTATTTTTAAAGGCAGGTTTTCCTACGCGGAATTCTGGAATGCACGTTGTCCCTTGTTCATTTGCTGTTACATGTGATGTTTACTCCCAATCTCTGACGTGTTTCTTTGTTTTCTGTGTGTTGCAGGCAGCATAGTGTACCTCGGGATGATGGTGGGGGCGTTCTTCTGGGGAGGACTGGCGGACAAAGCGGGAAGGAAGCAGTCTCTTCTGATCTGCATGTCTATCAACGGATTCTTTGCCTTCCTTTCGTCATTTGTCCAAGGTTATGGCTTCTTTCTCTTCTGTCGCTTACTTTCTGGATTCGGGTAAGGTTTTCTCCTTCATATTTTATGCTAATGTATTTATTCTACATAAAAGCATAATGTACATGTTTTCTACTCTCGAGATCCTCATTACCAAGAAATTATCCCTTAATGCATTTCCTTAGGAGCCCTAATGCTGGTTAAAAATATAATTATCAACCTTTAAATCCCGAAGAGAAGGGAACACACATCTGTATTCTCGTGGCCGATTCTTTTAGTGTTTTATGTCTAGGAAATGAGTATTTTTTTTTAATTTAAAAATGTTTTATTACTAAAAAGTGCTAATCATCATCTGAGCCTTCAGAGAGTTGTCGTGATGACATCAGAGACCACTGATCACAGATCACCATGGTAACATAATAATAATGAAAAACTTTGAAACATTGGGAGAATTACCAAAATGTGACATAATGACTTGAAGTGAGCAAATGCTGTTGGAAAAACGGTGCTGACAGACTTGCCCAATGCAGGGTTGCCACAGACCTTCAATTTGTGAACAACGCAATACCTGCAAAGCACAGTAAAACAAGACACAATAAAATGAGGTATCGGAAATGGGGATTGTTCTTAACGGAATGCTGTTTCTTTGGCCGTGTGCAATCATAAATGTTGTTCCTTCTGAGAATTTAAGCAAGAAACAGCTCTGGTCCTACCTATTATGAACTAATTAAAGATTTGAACCACTCAAGCATGCTCTTAAATACACGATGAGAATATCTCAAATAAATGTTGTTTTATTGATCTATCTTAACAGCATGTTTAACTAGTTGGGAAGCCTGCTTCTTGAGACGCAGTACATTCTTTTTGGAAGTTTCTGACTTCTGCTGAATTAACAGGAGTTACCCTATTAACCAAGTGCAGTGGCGTAGTATAGCCAATAGTGTAATCGTCTTTAACGATCTTGAAACACTTACTCCTAGACAAAGTGAATCACACAGCTTAGGAAAATCCAACAGCTCAATTAGGAGAGTCCAAGAAAACAAATAGTGAAAATAGAAAATTTCAGATTCATGCTTGAGAACTTTGTTTTCATTAGAGACATTCTTTCTTAGCATAAGATGAATCTACAGGAATAATACAAAATAAAATAAAAATGAATGAAGAAAGGGCAAGAGACAGTGCTGGGTTATGAATTGGAGAAGCAGATCAGCTGTAGTGGTTGATGATCGTGGTACCCACACAGCAAAGCACAGTTTTGCCAAAAGAGAAGTTCAGAAAGCTACATCCCATCTCTCTTAATTACATGCAGCAGTACTTTAAAACCAGAGCTAAGATTAATAGGAATGTAAGGCTTCAGAGAGAAAGACTGTATAAGTGGGCTACTTCAAGAGTATGAAGATTTCTCCATGCAGACTAATGGGTCACCTTTGTAATTCATTCAAAACATTGAAAAAATTTTATATCACTTGCTACCACGAGATTTGTGCACATATTGAGGTTGTTGGATTATCCACAGATTTTTCTGATTTCTTTTTTTATCTTTTTATGGCCTCTCCTTCTGATGCCCACTGCATACGGTGGGCAATGCAAATATGTTACTAAGTTGCACAAATCTCACAAGCTTTCCTTTATTAAAGTGAAGACACTCCAGTAAACCGTTCCAGTAAACCAGGAGAGTTAGAAAGTTTGGGAAAGTGTGAAAATATTTTTTCCTTGGAAAAGAATGATCAGAACCAATAATTTGCTTTGTAACGATGGGGAAAGGGGACTTTTCTTCAGCGGAGGGGACCCTTGGTGCTCCGAGCTCTGTGTGAGACTAGCTGCATCCGCTGTCCTTGGGGAGGTAGTTTGGCTCATAGATTCAAGGGACTACAGCAGACCTAGTGCCGAGTGAATTGACATGCCTGAGGATGAACAGGTGTTACTTGGGTCTGTTTGTTAAAGAACCTTCTCAGGGTCCATGGGATAAGACATTCTTGCCACCAGCAAAGCTTCCTTCTGCTTTCTTTTATCAATGTAATACCACAGGCCTGTCAGGAGAAGGCTAATCACCTAAGTTCTGAAATTTCCTGTCCTTTCCATTTGCAGCCTTAACCAGGAAACACCAGATTCAAAAGTACCTGACTGTGGTCAAATTATTACGGCAATTTTACGTGCCAGTTTGGATGATGACATGGTCAACCCAACTGACGGCAGAGAAAAGGGCCATTCTGGTGGCTGCAAAATACTCCAAAATAAGGGACTGCCTGGAAGCTAATTCAAGGGCAATACAGAGACAGACTGCTTGGGTATATTCATGACATCGTCCTCTTCCCGATGGCAGAGAAATCATTCTTCAGCTAGCAGCTCAGGGCTGCAGACTTCCAAATAATACAGTTTACTGTGCATTGCTAACTCAGCCAGGTTCTATAAATTGTGGTACCAGAGGCTTATCCACTTTGTGCCTTTGCAAAGTTGGCATAGGATTGGGAGCCCAGAAACCCAAGTCCGCGCCACCCCTGCCCTTTCCTACGAGACCTCGAGAACGTTCCTCAGGCTCTCCAACCTGCTTCATCTGTTGTAAAAGGGAAATAACAGTACTTGATATTCCTACCTTGGAGTCTGAGGATCAAGTGAGGTAATGTGTTAAGAGTACACTGTAGGGAAGGAAATGCGGTGTAATATCTAGAAACACCCCCCCAACACACACACACACCTCCTGTTTGGCATTCCCTGTTCTCTCTTTGCTCTTCCTCCTGCTCATTCAGCTAAGCTGTCCTGTGCTCGTGGTCTCAGAGTGACCGCAGAGGGAGGGGAAAGGAGGCTCCTTTCTGACTTCGAAATTTCAAGTCTTTCCCAGGAATGAAACAGAAATCATGGGCAAAGACTTGGGAGAAAACAGGCGCATAAAAGGACGCATCCCTGCTCCCCGGGATAGGTGGAGATTCTCAAGGCCGGGGGCGGGGCTGGGGGAGGAGTGTGGGCTGACTCGCCTGGGCCCAGGTGGCGAAACACCCGGAACTTTGTGGGGTCCAGAAGCTGAGGGGCCCTGAGAAATGCGGTTGCTAAGGGAAATGAAGAAGGTGATCTCTCACCCTCGGCTGAGTTTCTGGTCCATGTTACCTACATGTCACATGTGGAGTGTGGCCTCCATGACAGAGAGCTTCTCAGCAGCTCTAGGGTTCATCCAGGCACCCTGTTTCTGGATCTTGGAGTGGTCTCAGCTGAGTCTCTAGTTTTCTCCAATTCCATTCCAGTTCAGGTCAAAAAACAACAAAAACAAACACTTTTGCATCTGCTCTATCCCTGAAACCATGAGAGACCTTTCTTGGATATAGATGAGCCCTGGCCCCCAGGTGCTTCCCAACTGGTCGTAGAGGAAAGACACTCAGGCAGCTCCATCTACTAAGAACTAGTCAGTCCCCGAAGAGAGGTAACAGCAATGGGCATGGGAGACTCACAGAAGGAGGAGAAAACAGTGAAAACTATGAACAAGAAACCGGTTTCCACTGGAAGCTTCTTCTCGTTTTAAAGGCATATAATGTTGAAACCCATTACTTCTGACCTCAGCATGTAAGCAGCTGATAGTTTGACATGGTCTCTTTTTATTTAAACCTCATTTTCTGTCTCTTTTTCTTTTTTTTAATTGAAGTATAATCAGTTTACAATGTTGTGTTTATTTAAACTTTCTTAATTAAAATTTAAGCCATCCTACTGTATAGCACAGGGAACTATATGCAGTATCTTGTAATAACCTATAATGAAAAAGAATATGAAAAGGAATACATATATATACACGTATGTATAACTGAATCACAAAACATTGTAAATCAACTATACTTCAATTAAAAAGAAAAAAAAACCCTTAAGCCAAAGCGTTAAGACTTTGACCATAGAGACCTTAAATAAGAGATCCTGTTGTTCCTCCTTACGAGACAGCTCCCTTCACCTACATCTGACATGGTTTTTCTTTTTCTTTTTCTTTATTTTTTAGAGGGAGGCAATTAGGTGTGTGTGTGTGTGTATATATATATATATATATATATATTTTTAAGGGTACTGGGGATGAACCCAGGACCTCATGCATGCTAAGCATGTGCTCTACCGCTGAGCTATTCCCTCCCCACCATCTGGTTTTTAAACTGAGGAAATCTAGCTGACCAAGGAAATAAGGTTCAGAATGTTGGGAATGCTTCTGTCATGGGCCTGTGGTGCTCAGACCCTCCAATGCTCCACACGTTTCCCGGGAGCCGCGCTCCTGCCATCCTTTCTCCTTTGCAGGAGCTTCTCCCAGAGCCCTCAGCTCTGGCGAACTCATATGGACCATCCTGAGACCACCCCTCATGGGGACTCTCAACGCAGACCCCTGTCTTGTCTTCTTGGTTGCACTGACCGATGTCTGAAAACACTTGCTTCTTATGTGTTTACTTCTATTTTCCACCTGCACGTGAATTCCAAGAGGGCAGAGATTGACATGATATGTCTGCCTGCTCTTTGCTGCTTAATTGCTCAAGGCAAGGTGGGCGGGGTTACTGTAAAGGACACCAGTCACAGCAGCAGTACGACAGTCTGACCAGCGTGGACCTTCCACGATGGTGTTCCTGGAAGAGAAATAGATGGGAAGTTTAGTAAATTCTTACTTGATCTGCATAAGGGGAAGCATTCTAAGTCAAGTGACCAGAAGTTTAACTTGCATCATAAAAGCAGAGTCATGACCCCTCAATCAATTCCCATATTTGAGCCAGTTTATAGACCCAGAACCCCTTGGAGGAAGGGGAGACCAGGTCTTCTGGTGGAAGGACTCTGTACATTGCTGAATGTTTATACTGTCCATCCTTCCCCCGAAAGGACCTATAGCCTTTTACCAGGGTAACTGAATGAGGGAAAAGGAAATAATCAGACTTTTCAGGGCTTACTAGACACTGGCTCTGAACTGACACTAATTCCAGGAGACCCAAAATGTCACTGTGTTCCACCAGTCAGAGTAGAGACTTAACGAGGTCAGGTGATCAGTGGAGCTGTAGCTCAGATCCATCTCACAGTGGGTCCAATGGGTCCCTGAATCTACCTTGTGGATTCCAGTT